TAAATTGACAAACATCATATGTGTCATTCGTGGCACAATTCCAACGGGATCAAAAGATAACCTTTCTCTCTCCATTGACTTCAATGTATAATTTTCCGCTTCCGGGGTCCCATGGAGGCTTTCGGAAGGGGAGGGACTTCGCCTCTCTATAGACCTCCGTTGTAAAAAATGGCGGCGCCTACTTCCGCGGTATCGACATCGAAATAGTTCAAAATATTGTCATTTGGGCGTTGGACCTCATTCACTTACATACGTCGATTAGTTCCAGAGGTAAGTTGCTGAAATATCGAACTCTTTTGAATTGTCAACTGTCTATATTGTATCAGAGGCCCTTTATGATGGCCTGGTCTTCATTTGTATATGCACAGCGTAATTATCTATATTTTATCTTGGTTGTTACAACCAATTTAGCTAGCATTGCCTGCTAGTTAGCTAGCGCGACTTCGTCAGCTTTGAAGGTAAGATTTCAGTAATGAATCGCTAGCAGCTTATATATCAATGATGCTGGGTAACTAACAAGCAGGATTTAGATTGATTATGTGTTTTTATTGTTATTTTGGTTTGTATCCGCTGAATCTGACCGTGTCAGCCATCCTTAGTCGGCTTTTTCTGTATGATATGACTTAACTGCTAGCACTAGTAGAAATGAGATGGCGTTTGTGATAAATATTTCATTTAATATTTCATTGAATTTTGGGATATACTAACATTTCATTATGTGACATGTTGACTGTACTTTGTTTTTTTTGGTACTGTTCCGTGTTAACTCATCTGTACTGTACAACTAGCCTAGCGCTACTCATGCTTGATGGCATGCTAGGATAGATTCCTTTGTATTGTAATATACACACTAGTTTAATGATTGTTCTTCAAAGGTATTATTCAGTCTTAAACAAATAATAGCCTACTGAATAGGCTACTCTACAGCAGTGAATGAAGGATGAGCCTAAAACATGGTCATGCATCCAAAATGTTTATTTTTAACAAAATAAACACTTAAAAAAAAAATAATTAGCACTTTTTTTTTTCACCCACAGTGACAACGCGCAGAGCATATTGGAACTCTACAGGTGTTGGGACAGAGTTCCTCAGACGAATGGACGAAAATGTGTTTTCCAGGCAGTCTTGAGTGAAGCGGCTTGTGAGAACAAATGTGTGCCCTTGTCTCAACAGGTCATGCTGGACCTCCAGGATTGTTGTTGTGGCCATCACCAGTCCTGTCTGGACTGGTTTCCAGCTGCCCTTGGGACTGATCTTCAGGCCCCGAAACAGATGGATGGAGTCCCGGAGGAAGCTGATGGCCTTATCATACTCCTCCATCTTGAAATGACTTAGGGCAGTAACAGTGTTGCGTGACGACATGAGGTCAAACTTGTTGGTGTCCAATGTTCAGTCACTGTATTGGTAAGCAACAATTTGTTTTGGTCAAAATGTGTTATTCACACTCCTGACTCCAGTTTGATGTGCTGCATTCTCCTCTGAGAGGTCATGGCTTGGAAGGTTTTATATTCTGTAGTGTCTCAACAGAACCTAATATGAATTGCTTTATTGTCTCGTCGCTGGATCACCTCCTCCTGGCAAAGTGGCCTCGTTATTGTTGACAAACCTGTTTTTGTTGCTGGTTCAACAGGAGCTTCTGTAAATAGTTTGAATATTTATCATAGTAATCATTTTTAGTCTCCCACTCTCTCAATTTAATTTATCGTTTCTTTGCCCCACCATATGTTTTGTTGTCCAAGGGCACTAATTTGGTCTGTGTTGAAGATTGTTTTACACTTTAGATTAATCAAAATTGTGTTTTTTGGCTGAATTAATCTTTTTCTGTTGAACCCTAACCCTCTTTGTTCTCCTTCTTATTCATTTTACTTTGTTTTGTTCTAACACACATCCCACATCACATCACTTTTTCCATACACTGTTCTTAATACTTGTTCACACATTTGTTCGTCCATTTTACTTTGTTCTTCCTGTTGTTCTTGTTCAAACACATATATCAATTGTTCATCCACTGTTGTGGTAAAATGATATTCATAGTCTTAACATGATCATGCTACCCATGCTAACATGAACACAAACGTTTCCCTCCAAAAATGTAAAACGTATCTAAGTACAGGCATGAAAACGGGTCAGGGGTGAAAAAGATGAGAAGGATATTATCCCTCTAGGGGGGTCCGGGGGCATGCTCCCCCGGAAGAACATTTTGAATATTCCATATTTTAAAGCATCAATCTGATGCATTTTGAGATGCATTTTTTTGCCAACCTGGGGAGAGCTGGAGAAACTTAACTTCAGCCATGAGTCAAAAATATTATGGCCTCCTTACTAAGTATTATCAGGGATGCAAACTCATCAGGTATGGAAAAGGTGACAAGGACCCGAGCCCCCCGACCCCACGGAATATCGGCTTTAAAATGAGGAATAACAGAGGATTTTAGCAGTCAAAACAACTAAAGCAGCAGTGTTAATAATAACAGAAACGCTAAAGAGTCACATCTAATAGAAATATATAAAATAATTTATTTTAATTGTGTAGCAGTCAGTTTATAATTTTGGCAGCACTGTTGAGCATTTTGAAAATCTATTGTCATGCCTCTGTGCAAGGCTTAGTCTTTCTATCTTTATGGCATCTGGTGTAAAGTAACTAAATTCATAAACTCAAGTACTATAGCCTACTTGGGTACAATTTTGAGATACTTGTACTTTATTTAAGTATTTCAATGTTTTGCTACTTTGTTCTTCTTCTCCTCTACAGTTCAGAGGTAAATGGTGTACTTTTACTCCACTACATTTATGTAATACCTTTAGTTACTTTGCAGATGTGGATGAATGATGTGAAATCTAATCAAGTGTTGAATCAGACTTTAGTTAAAACTGTCAATAAAAAGTATGCAATAATGCAATTACAGCTGAAAAAGTACTTGGGTGTGTGTTTTTTTTATATATATATATTTACCATTCAATAACGCAATCGCTGCTGTCTGTCTGTCCCATAGAAGAACATGACAGCGCAGCGCAACTATACTACGGACGTGACTGCCCTGGCAGTGACAGCAACATAGCCAACATAACTTTCCCCTCAAAATATCGTTAAATAACGAAATTTATAAATAGTGCCAATCCATACAAAGTGTAACCACATCATGTAAATATGAAAGCAATCTTTAAAAAATAACAGCGTTGGTTTAATCTATGACTATTTTGACCATGTTTGTGCTGTTTTTGCCATAGAGAAGCATTGCAACGGAAGTGCGTTTTGAACTATCCCGGCATACATAAACCACGTGACCGGCTGGCGGCGACATCAAAGAGTGTCGTAACTCTTATCTCTAGGGCTCTGCCATACTCTATATACTAGCGTGAAAATGTTTGTGAAAACGTGTGCAAAGTCTCCGAAAATCCTAAAAATAAGCTCATATTTGAATTCCCCATAAAAAAACACATAATTCAGTAAAAACAAGGCCCCACTGATCATCTACTCTCTGAGACGATTCCAGGGATGTCTGGCTTGAGTTTCGACCACCAGGGAAAGTGGACAAAAGTGCCCGAGATCAGCCTCTTAATTTACCCAGGGCCTAGTGCTTAGTTTTGGGCATGAAAATTCAGGAAACTCCCCTGAGTATTTTTTTAAATATCTGAACTTTGGAGAGGAGTTGGGGGACACACGACACATCAAATCACATCTACAGATCAAGACGAAGCTAGTGGAAGTACTCCTAGCGTGTGAACATGTTTGTGAAAAACGTGTGCAAAGTCTCCGAAAACGGAGCAGTGGCTGTGATACTAGCTTTGCGGCTAGCGGTTAGTTGTTATTGTTTGAAGTTGTTGCTATGGAAACAACATGACGGAGAAAAAATTAATATCTTCTACATATAATAACGGACAAAGTAAAGAATGAAGTGTAGGCTATGCCTGTTTGAAGTTGTTGCTAAGGAAACAACATAACGGAGAAAAAGTATAATCTTCTACATATAATAACTGACAAAGTAAAGAATGAAGTGTCGGCTATGTTTAAATGTTCGGAATTTGACCGTGATGGCCCTCTTGAGTTGCCGTAAAATATGACGAATATGACGGATGACGGATGCGACGGAAATACACCCGAACATATCTGGTAGTCCGAACATATCTGGTACTGACACAGGCATGCGCTTAGGGCCCGCTTTCCAGACAGTTTCTGTGGGGTGACGCATTCTGAGGTGAGGCCATACAGTCTATGGGTGAGGCAGAGCTCATTTGTGCCTCACCTCACCCCACAGTAACTGGCTTGAGCGCGCTCACAAAATAAGTACCCGCGTTAAATTAGTGCCCGCGCTCCAGGCAGTTACTGTGGGTTTACGAGAGGCAGAGCTCGTCCCTGCCTCAATTCTCATCGCTACCCGTAGTTGTAGCAGAGCTCGGTAAATTTGCTGATTTTGACTATAAAAAGCGATCGGAATCATACATAAATCACATTTACAACACAGATCAGTGGAGACATTTTATTATTATTACTATTTAGTTTTTCTTTAGTTGTTTTTCCGTTACATTGGAGTATGACAGGTGAGGCTCTGCCTCCCCTGACTGCACGTCGCTGATGTATATATATATATATATATCAGTGGCGAGCCTTGACTTTTATACTTTTATAATCTGACCCCATTCATTTAACCCTTCACATTCCAACAGAAACTGAATAGGCAGATTCGAAGGATTTATTTCTTTGGAAATGTTATTTTAAATACAATTAAATCAAGTTATTTTTGGTAAAACTAATGAAAAATATAACAACAAAAATATTTTATTTTTTTTAATGTTTTTAAATATTATTTTTGTAGAATATTTTAGGCCCTCACAGAGGCCTAGAGGGCACTGACGGCTCGCCACTGATATATATATAGGGCTCTGACCCTACCCATCCTTATACATCCATGATCCATACTCCTTGCCGACACTTCCTCATTCCTGACGTCAGGACTAGTTTATCTAGCCTTCCAGCGAGTAGGAATGTGGTCATTCGGCTCACGGCGGGAAACCTCTCCTCCAAACCTCCTGAACAACGCAGTTTCTCATGCCTTTTGTTGTGCTTCCTGATGCGACCTTTACACCTGCAGAGGAGGGAGGAGTCCGGGCAGAGGGTGAGAGATAAAAGAGAGACGAGCTGGAGCTGAATAAAAGCTTCTGCAGCTGCGGAGCCACATGAAGCGCTCAACATGGGCAACTGGATTATCAACCATGGGCTCACGTCCTTCATACTGGTAAGTTATTCTTATTGAGAGTTGTCTTTCATTTGGCATTGTGCAGAGTATCAAATCAAACAGATTCAGTTTAGTTTGAGTTTATTTGTCACATGTAGGTTAACAGCAGTGTTGGGGAGTACTGAACTAAATAAATTCATAGCAGTTCAACTTCATTTTGTAGTAGCTTTCTGGCACTGAAAGAACAATTATATTTGCACAATATTCAAGCCTTCAACGCACTTGTTTTGCAATGTATTTGTAGTTAACTACTGAAATTAGGAAGAATTAAAGTAAAGGGGTGACTTTTGGGGTGAGTGTCTTGCCAGGTACTTCTTCTAATGTGAAGTAATTGATGGTGTTCAAAGCAGCTCTCCCAGCAATTCGTGAAACCACTAGTTTCTCAAAGTTAAGAAAAGATGGCATGAGATAAATATTAATACAAATATATATATAACGCTATGTGTGAGAGTAAGTAAACATACTTAACAGAAGGCTATTGCACACACATACTGAGAAAAAGGAATAAGATTAAAACGAATATATCCCTGAGTTCTTGCACTATTACCAATATTGGACATTCAATATGTGTCCAAACTCCTGCGTCTTCAATGTAAATATAATTTCACATTAATTTAAATGAAAGACTGCTCTTCATTGATGGAAACATGATCCTGTCGGCAGGTGGTCTGGATGGGCATCAACATCTTCCTTTTCGTCTGGTTTTACCTGTTCTACGATTTGGGGGATGATTATTACTACACACGTCATCTTTTAGGGGTGAGTAAGGAGAACTGGCGTCAGTTCAGCTTCTTTATCCACATAACAGACTCATATTAATATATATATATATATATATATATATCTTTACTTCAGTCTGCGTTGGCGTGGGCCAGAGCTCCAGCCGCTGTCCTGAACTTTAACTGCCTGCTGATCCTGCTGCCGGTGTGCAGGAACCTGCTCTCTCTGCTGAGAGGGTCCTTTGTGGTGAGATCATGCTTCATGATTTATATCTGTTATTCATATTTTGTGTTTATTATCCTATACCTGTTTTTAAATATAATTTTTTTTAATAATGTGTTTCCGCTGCTCTATTTTGCCTTGCCTTCATAGAGTGGCGAAGTCACGCCCATCTACTTCCGGTCCATGGGACCTTATTTCGGAAAAATAATGTATTGAAGTCAATGGCGAGAGAGAACTTATCTTTCGATCCCGTTTGAATTGTGCCATGAATGTTTTCTCACAATCAAAAATCCAGTTTTTGCCCCACAGCTGGGAAAATCATAGTACTACTACAGCAAAGACACAGGACAGATGCTAAAATATATAAGCAAACATGTTAAAATAATGAGGCAAGCACATATGTCATAACAATCAAATAAGACTATGATAAAAAACAAGTAGCGGAAATATAAGAGTAAGGAAAGATATACAAGTTCTTGCATTAGCAGTCAGAATAATAGTAATATGATATTGTGCTATTCAACACATTGTGTTAGTCAAACAATGCAGAGTTTCAGCTTAATAGCATATCTGGCTCAATGTCAAACCAAAACCTAAACACCTACACATGTTTCCGTTACACAACCCCTTCCCTACAGGTGAGGACGGTTTCTGTTACTGCTTTGGAAATATGTTCTTTGTCTTTTATTTGTAACCTAACAATGTTATTTCTCATCCTTTTTAGTGTTGCGGAAGAACAATGAGGAAACAGCTGGATAAAAATATAAGTTTCCACAAGCTGGTGGCGTACATGATCGCTCTGATGACAGGTGAACTTGTGCAAGCGTCTATACTTTTCTTATCTTTGAAACATGCTTTGTTTAAAGATGACAGTTACTAATGAGTTTAAGGTTAGATAACAATAGATGCAGCTTTGACAATGGCATAGTGTTCATTTGGGTGAGGTGTAACAATTGTCAAAAGAAAGTGAATACGAAGCATAAATCAAACGAATGTATTCCAGGTTCAGACACTTTAAAAAAAGAAGTTGTTTGCCAATATACTTTTTGTGCATAGTTAGTTTGTATACTTTATTCAACTGTTTTCCAGTGTATATCAAATAGTTTGCTCAAGCTCAACATTTCTAAAATATTTAAAAATAATTTCCCATATTTGCAGCATGAACCTAAAAGCATCATTACCATTGCAGCAGCAGCAGCACAATGCCTCTCCATTCCCTTGGTCATCAGTATTGAAACAGCTTTAACGCGTCTCCTCTCCTACTCTCACAGCCGTCCACCTGATCGCCCACCTGCTGAACGTGGAGTGGTACAACAACAGCAGGCGAGGAGTTTACGACAAACTGAGCACGGCTCTGTCCAACCTGGAGGATACGGACAACACCACCTACCTGAACCCCATCCGCAAAACTGACGTTGTGAGTTTAGCTAAATAATCAAATGTATATCGCTAAATACACTGTTTTAATATTTCATCTATCATTTTAGAATAATATAATACACTTTTTAGATAAGTGGGGAACTAACTTGACCAAAATAATTTAAATAAAACTAATTATAATCAAAAATCAACACGTGTCGACACAATCTCCCTATAGCACATACGTTTTTCACGTTTTTGCGTAAGTTAAAGGATTGTAGGCTCGTTTGCAAGTTGAGTAACTTTGCTAAAACGTTTTTTTGTATTACTATACTTAATTTTCACCACACAATAAAGTAATATCTACATAAACTTAACAACATATACCAATTTGTCAAAAACTTAGAAGAACATTTCTAAAATGTGTTGTCAAGATGAGACAAGGCTGTTTTTCATAGTCTGTCCATTGAATATAAAACCTTTTTTTATTAAACCTTCTCCACAATCTTCTCTCTTGAAAACAAAAGCTCACATGTCTGTGTCGTGACTTTCTTCTTCTTCTTCTCGTGTCTCAGGATGCTCAGCAGACTCCAACCTACTTGGTGTTCACCACCATCGCCGGCCTGACGGGGATCATCATCACTCTGGCTCTCATCCTCATCATCACCTCCTCCATGGAGGTCATCAGACGCAGCTACTTCGAGGTCTTCTGGTACACACACCACCTCTTCGTCATCTTCTTCATTGGTCTCGTGTTTCACGGAGCTGGGTAAGGAGAAATGACTCGACTTTCTTTTAATGACCTTATTGTAAAGACTAACAAGCATTTATACAACTCAGCCTGCTTTACGCCAATACAATTATGTTATTGCAGTGGTGCACTAGTCAACGGACAAGACAGATGTTATCAGGCCCTCGGCTAGAAAAGGATAACTTGGACAATAAAGGCATATATCTAGAGAATATTTTGAATATATATAAAGGTCCTACATTAATAATGTTAAGGATTAGGATTTCAAATATGATAAAGCAACATTTTATATGAAATATATTTTTTATACTTCATACATAGTCCGTTTGGAGTATAAAACCAGCTATTACAGGATTGGGCTTTATTTGTTATCAACATGCAACACAGAGTGACACGACTCATGCAGGTATAGCTCATTCCTTTATGCCACATAAGAGAAAACAGATCAAATAAAACCGGATAAAGGCAGTAGTGCATGCCTGTTGTGCATATTTTGAATCGCACTTGAAAGAACGACACCTAAAACAATGGTGAATTCATGGGAAAGATTAAACGACAACATCATCCAGATAAGAATGCTCTTCTTCATAGTTGTGTGCCAATGAAGAAGTTTAATGTCACATAGTATATACAAGTGTACGGCTGTTTTGCACGGTGTGAACATTTGGATTATAATATTCTGGGTGGATCATTTTTATTATTATTGCAATTAAATTTCATTTGTGTTTCCCGTCTGCAGGTTCATAGTGAGGAAACAGCTGACCACAGATCCACCACACAACTTCACCTTATGTAAAGACCGCATTGAGGAGTGGGGACAGATTCCTGAGTGTCCCCTCCCCAAGTTTGGAGGAGGGCCCGCCCAGGTATGTCCTTTTATATCTTTCTTTAAAATACCAGAAAATAAGGGGGGGACCAAATTCAACCAAATTAAACAAAAAAAGGTATTAAACAGGAGGTGTGGGGTGGTGTAGGAGAGGGGGATGGGCATGGGCAATTACCTCCTACTTATTGCAGATCTTGCGGTATATTGTCTTTGGGGAAATCTAATTAAAACATTTGTGATCACTGATTTTAAAGGTTAATTTATTCCATGTCCAAAATGTGTGCTATTGTTGATAGCCATACATTTTGTTTTGGTCAAGTTGGCTGTTTCCATGTCCTCGTAACCTGCTTATAACTATCAAATGCAACATGTTAAAGAGATGCAAGTTGTTTCTGTTTAATAGAATAAACTAGTCGGTTATGTTACAGTTTCACTTCACAAGACATAATAGAACTTTCTAACACTCACTTTCTGAGCAGATCCTCCCTAGTATTTATATTGTTGCCTGCACTATAGTCTGTACTCTGAAACTACTACTTATATCCTCAATCAATAGCTTCAACTACTTTTGCAAATAAAAACATTTGTGATTTGTAAATGCTTTTTCTCTTGTGTTTTTAGACCTGGTGGTGGGTGATTGGTCCGATGATTCTGTACCTGTGTGAACGTCTGCTGCGTTTCATTCGCAACATGCAGACCGTCCAGTACAGGAAGGTATGTCAGTCATGATTCACGTCTTCATTCAGGGTCATTTAGGTTTATAATGTGACAGGATTTCACCAGTCCTTTCTTTTTTCAGATCGTGATGCATCCATCCAAGGTGCTGGAGATGCAGCTGGTGAGGCACGGGTTTAAGATGGATGTGGGTCAGTACATCTTCCTCAACTGCCCGGCCATCTCTCAGCTGGAGTGGCACCCGTTCACCATGACCTCCGCCCCCGAGGAGGACTTCTTTAGCGTCCACATCCGCTCAGCCGGGGACTGGACCGACCGACTCATAGACATCATGCAGCACCTGCCAGAGGGGGCACAGGGGCCCAAGTGAGTAACCCCCCCCCCACCCTGATTTGTTTTTGGGATTTTCAACAGCATGCAAGTGTCTTAACGTTTAAAATGTTCTGATTTCAATGTTGAGTATGTATAACATTCCCTAAGAGAACTGAAACGTGCAAAGAATGCAGAAGAAATACTTACAAAATGCAGTTTTAAAAAAAAAACATTTCTAGAATACAGCTTAAAAATATTGTGACTACCTTTTTTGAAAGACCCACAATGATAATGAAGACATTTAATGCCAGCACCACCATCGGAAAAGGACAGTTTTTAACCCATGGGTCTGATGTTTCTGGCATTTGGCTCCTTTTTTTGAGTGTTTAAGTGAAAAAAATGACCCAATTTTTCCATTTATAGCACCTCCTCTTAGGGTTTGAGATTGATTTTGATTCGGTGCTGTGTTGCACAATATCTTCTGGGTCTGAGCCAATTTCATGTCAAATCACTTCAAAAACAAATCTAGAAACCGGCACCGCAATGAACTCATGAACTCATGAACTCATAATGTTGTGCTTTGTGGCAGTGATCCATTGCTGCATAGCTGTCCCCAAAATAAACATTGACTAAACAGGTATTCTATTATCAGTTGTTGAGTTGTATTGTTATAAGCTACATGAAAGCCAGTACAAACCACCTTTGTTCCAGTGTGTGTGAGAGTTATACTTTTTTTTTTTACACTTTTGAAATGTTCTTGCTGTCATCTAAAACCCAATGAATGAATGTGTGGAAAAACTTGTGTTTACTAAGTCACTTTACATTTCTTTCTGAACAACTTATAAGCCAAAAATATAATGATTCTGAATTAGGCTTTTTTGTTCTTTCTTACTTGTACATTACTTTGACTTTATTAAAGATCTGAGCATTTCTCCCTGGCTGATTCCTTGTTGTTTCTCAGGATGGGGGTGGACGGGCCCTTTGGGACAGCCAGTGAAGACGTGTTCGACTACGAGGTCAGCATGCTGGTCGGGGCCGGCATCGGCATCACTCCATTCGCCTCCATCCTCAAATCCATCTGGTACAAATTCAAAACCTCCAACCCTAAACTACGCACCAGAAAGGTATGAACCAAAACGAGCCACTCAGTATGCTTCTGATAATTGAACCTGTTGGTCCTGTTATTGTCAAAAATAAAGAACAAAGTGCCTTCTTCCTGCTCACAGATCTACTTTTACTGGCTCTGCCGGGAAACACACGCCTTCGAGTGGTTTGCCGACCTGCTGCAGGTGCTGGAGAAAGAGATGGAGGAGAGAGGAATGGGGGATTTCCTCACCTACAAACTCTACCTGACTGGCTGGGATCAAAGCCATGTAAGTGTGTGAATCAGTTACAGAGCAAAGTCCAGATAAACAATGTGACCTTAGAGCTCATCTTTTTTTTCCCCCTTTCACATTTGAACACAGGCGACTCATGCCTGGGTTCACTTTGACGAGGAAACAGACGTGGTCACTGGCCTCAAACAGAAAACTCATTATGGCCGACCCGTGTGGGATAAGGAGTTCGAAGAAGTCCGCCAAGAAAACCCTTCGTAAGTAAAAACACTCTTTTCAGATATTGTAAAATATAGGTCTTCCGACTTGTACATCACCAGATCATAAAGGTCATCATAAAGGTCATGTATCCACTATCCTACTTAGGTAGAAGCAACAAATATCACTAGCAAAATGTAGTTTAGAAAAACTCTACCTCTAAATGATCATTTGTGTATCAGTCACCTTGAAAGAATACTTAGTTTTTCTCACAGTAAAAAGGAAACTACCAAGAAACCTATGGATGACTTTAAATACATGGGCATTGAACAGCAACACTTTATAAAAACATCCAATTAAACTTACACTCAACTTGTGCAGTATAATATAAGTCTCATTTATCCAGACATATGCACGCTACTTCCCCAACACATGCATTTTTGCTAAAACCTCACTATTTAAAACACTTCAGACTTCAATTTTAAAAGGTTGGAGTCGTTTTGTGGATACTTGCGTGAAGGTATATAAGAAAAACGAGTTTAGGATTACACTAGGTGAGATGTTAATATACGAATCATATGTTTGGTTGTTAATGGATCAATTTGGCAGCTTATTACCGTGCTGATAGTGAAGGTAGTGTTGGTTATAATGACTTTACATACAGTGATGGTGCTTAAGTGAATATCCCATATATATTTTCTGCTGCTTTTATACTCCTACATTTGAAAGGTTGTAGTTTCTACATGTAGGAATACAGCAAGGGATTTGCTCGTCTACCCTCCAATGCAGTCTTCACTTTTAAACATGAACCTCCGACAGCTAACCCTTCATCTTGTTTCCAGATCTGTGGTGGGAACTTTCTTGTGTGGCCCTGCAGTTCTGGGAAAGGTCCTGGAGAACAAATGTGCCAAATTCTCCGATGTGGATCCCCGAAAGACCCGATTTTACTTCAACAAGGAGAACTTCTGAGTGAAGAAACAACAACAAAGGACTTTGGCTTTTTGAAGGTCAACAGATACTTTCACCGAGGATATTTGTGAGGAAGTTATTGACTGCTGCCTGAAAACCTGCAGCACTAGCTGGGTGTGTTTCGGCACGTCGACCAAAAGGCAAGGCATGTTGTTGCACTACTCAGGGACAGACACGTTCTCAGCCATGAGTAATAGCCTCTTGATTGCTATGACTCAAGGTTTAAACGTCAGTTACACTCATTAATAGATTGTAAGGAATTATTTTACTGTGACAAGACACCAGGACCACCAAGGTTTAGTCCCTATAGTTTTGTTTGTTGTTGTGTCTCTTCATGTTTGTCTGTATGTGTGATTTACATTATTTATTTTGTATTATTTCAAAAAAATATGTAAGATGGTCTGCAACTGTTTGTTTTTTTGTATGCAAATAAAAAATAATTAAAGGACATTTGACCAATTATTTCCCTGTATAATTACCCATCTTGTGAATTATCAAAACATGTGGGTTGATTTGTTTTAAGCACTAATCAGCATTTCTTAATTGTATATTTTAGCCAACAATTAAATTCCCTGTAAATATCACGCTGTGTTCATGACCCTGATCAAAAGGTTTTTAAAAAAAATACAAGTCGTCAACTTCACCTGATTTCCTCGTCAGTGACAGGAAGACTTCCTCCTGTCACGTATCATCCGGGTTAATCATTTTCTAACAAAGTGGAAGATTATTTTTCACGATTTGCTACCCAACCCTCTCCTTGGATATTCCGACTCGTTTTAAATAAATGAAACCATGTATTTTTTGTTGGTTTTATTGACAAAACATCAAGACTAACAGCTGGCTTTGGGATGAAACATCATGACACTCCAGTTTCTGTTCAGCATTCATCATCCACTCAAATGTGTAACCGGACTCTTCATACAGACAATATGATTTAAAAAAAAAAACTATACAAAAGTCCAAACTAAGCAGACGTCTTCAGGGTCGAGCAGTTTGGGAATCCTATAATAAAAATGAAATCAGAAAAACGTCTCAAATCACAGATTTGCAGAGTGACAATACAAGCCTGCTTCAAAGTTAGTGAGGAATGTGCAAGAACAGAGAAACCTAATCTTGGCCTACCTGAACCCTTTTGTATTTTTCTCCATGAGCCCGTTAAGGCCCCCCCCCTGCAGTCTTCTGAATCTGCTCTTTGAGGATCAGGATGCTCTGCCGCTGCTCCGGGGGCAGCATGGCGATCTGTTCTGGGGTCAGCTGCAGCACCTGCATGATGAGGGCAGCCTAGAGGGACAAATATTGCCATTTCGGAGTTATACATGAGCTCTAGTGTCCTCAAAATGGGCCAAACATGACCATCATTTCATATGGGAAGCCATTGGTTAAGTCCCAATTGCTGCTTGTTTACATTCCCTCCTCAGTGATAGAACAACTCTGAATGAGAATGCAAGATAAGACATTTGGCAGAGGAGCCCTTCATCAAGCTGCTGACAGCGAGAACCCACCTTCTCCTGGTCCTGTGTGGAGACCTGGCTCTGGCCTGGACTGAAGCCCCCTCCCGACGGAGGACCAGAGTTTCCAGGACCCTGCAGCACAAACGTACGGAAAACAGCAGGTAATGATTATCCAACACAGATAGCACTGATTTCATACTCATATCTAACCTTAAGTCAAATTCACATGTTTAGAATGTTTGATCTATATAATGCCAGAAAATAGTATAAATATATAATAGTTTTCCTAAAGTTAAAAGGTGATTTCTTCAGATATCTTGTTTCGTCAGACCTAAATCCAAAGATATTCAATCCTATAGGTTATAAAACAGTATAAGAAATCTCCATATTTATGCTGCTAAAAACTGCTTTTTCCTTTCAGTTTTTGCATAAAACAATTGAAAGAAGGCGATCCTAACTCATTATGAAATGTATAGACTGTATTTGAAAAGATGCAGTTACCGGTCTTGCAGGTGGAGGAGCGTTCGGAGCCATGCTATGAGGAGCGGGGCCCGGCATTCCTGTCGCCATGGGAACCCTCTGAGCCGCCACCGGACCTCGAGTGTCCATCGCCCTCGGGTCACGGCCTGCAGGGGAAAACAAAAAACCTTAAGGTTCACATCTCGCTGAATTTTGAGCGAAATCTTCTTTCCTTCTTATGAAATTACTCCGAGGTGAAAAGAAAGTTTACAAATATAAAACACTTTTAAAAGATATGTTTGTAGTTCGACCATTTTTGTTAGCTTCTAGGAACATTGATGACCTCAAACAAATGAATGAAAGAGGTATTGAATTCAATACAAGCGTAACACACTAGCAAGGAAAAAGTGTTCCGTCATATGAAACCATTTTCAATCCTGTAGAAAACATTTTGCTTGGACAAAAGACTCCTGTTTGGTTAAGTGGCACTCGGTCCCTCTGCCAGCTGAGACAAGAATTTGTGTTTTGTTTTATAAATATTGTTATTCCCTGTTTTTTCTTTGACCTTTCTTACAAATGTTTGCATTGTACAGCTTCTTGAAACTCTTGTACTAAAAGGCGCTTCGTAAAAAAGTTGACTGTTACAACTAGTGTGACTAACAAAGAGTTCGGTCATCATAGGCTGTAAAAACATGAAGCCTCATCAGAGCAGCTACCTCTAGTTTCCATCGGGGGTCCGCGTTGCTCCATCATCGGGGGACCTCTGGGGTCGCCCATCATGTTGCGTGGTTCACCCATGGGTGGGCCTCTCATGTCCATTGGAGGGCCTCTCATATCCGGGGGGGGTCCTCCTGCCATGTGTACAGGTGGGGCTCCTGCCATGTGTACAGGTGGGGCTTGGTGGGGTGGGGGGGCTGCCATGTAAGGCCGGCTGAATACAAAACAGAGAGCCATTAAATAGAACACAAATACATAAAGAGTTGTCATAACTTATTTCCACTAGATCAAAGCCTTTGTGATGTGTGTGAACGTCTTACCCGGGCTCGATGACCTCGCCAGTGACGGACAGCAGAGTTCCTCCTCTGGGGTCATTAGGACCATCTCCCAGCAGCCCTCTGGGGGGGATACCGCCGGGGCCTAACGGGACACAAGGCATACATTACTTAATATTCAACAACCAGGAAATGTTACATGACAAATCTATTAGGAAAAGGTGGAAATTCCAGGCAAAGGAAAGCACACACGACTATAAAAAGGTGTTGGCTCAGTTTAGATATCTGAGGAAACAAGCAGAGCTGTGTGAGGGAGGGACACATCACACTGAGATGTCACAACACACAGAGATATAAAGGAGAGTCATCAGGAACACAAAGAATGAAGGAAAACAATTCCATCAGGATGGATATTATAGGTTCAACACGTCTGAAAACACATTCAAAATGTTTTTTCCCACACCAATACACAAGTCCTCACTTGAGAATATTTCCCTACTTGTGTCCTGTAACTCTGGTGTGTGTTGGCCAAGGGAACATCACAACAGGAGGCATGCAGAGAGGAGACGGGTGTGCCAGAATTCAGTTACGTAAATAGCATGAATGACTACACAATACAACAAGGCTCTCCAGAGTTAACAATAGGGCACGATGTTTTTGTGAAGGTGACTAAAACACACGTATAATCTCCAGTCAGGTGAGCTCTACTAGAATGAGATTGTAGTTTAATTTCAGCTAAAAAAAAGATTCTTCTTGATGTAGTTTTATCCCAATAGAAATCAAGGGTGTATAACTCATTCATCGTGTTCGAATGATGCAATGTTTATTTAAGCTGGCAAATATTCATTGAAAAATCAAACTAGTTTAGTTGAATTCCGATTCAAAAGAGGGAGGAGAGCATAGGGCTGCTTTAAAATAATAAAAAGCAGCTAAAAGAAATAGAAATGGTATAGGACGTGTGAGCTGCTGCTGTCAGTGGAACTGTTGTGTGGAGAAATGGCAAGAAATTAAATAAACCCAAACAAGGGCACAATAACGGCCCGTCCACGCAGCGGCGTGCGTTGAAGCTTCAACGCTTCTGCCCATTCACTTTGAATGGGGCGACGTCACGCTTCGCCGAACTGTACTGTGGGAGCAAAGCGTAGCTTCAAAAGCGTTGCTCGCTGCAAAAGTTGAGCCATGTTCAACTTTTGCAGCTTTGGCGGAAGCGTCAGCCAATCGAATCATATGCCAGTACAAGCTCTAGCCAATCAAACCGCGTGCTTGTGTGTCCGGGGCGGGAGATTCATGTGATTGGTTGTTGGTCAAGTTTCAGCCCCCCCCCCCGCCGGCAAGCTTCAACACACGCCGCTGTGTGGAAGGGGCCTTTGAAGGTAAACTTATCATTCCTGAACAGAGACAAACTGTTCCTTTAATTCTACTAATGAAATGATACAACTGATGACTGCCATGAACACCAACAAAGCTATAACAACAGACTCATTAAACCTCCACCCACCTGTCAGCATTGGTGCTTGAACTTAAAGGCCATGGACAATAATTAATACATTCTTAAAATATGAAAAACAATGTTGGCTCTACTTTAACACTTATTCTATAACACACAGGTGTGAGCAAGCTCTCTGATTGGTCAATAGGCGTGTTTGATTCCACGATCAAAGAACGGTCAAATAGAATGTGCCTTTTCACAACAAGTCAGTATCCCTCCGCGTCTGAGAAAAACGGTATACCCTTGGCCTGAAAAGCATGCTTTTCGAACTGGAACAAGAAAGCAGCGGAGAAGTAACGGGGCAGAAACCCTCCTTTTTACGTTACGAAACAAACTTCCAAACATAATATGGAAACATTTAAGATTAACTTCAACCTCCGGGGGGGTCTTACTGTGGAGGACTGGATTGAGGAGCGCCTAGAAAAAAAAGCACCTAAACGACAACATGCAGAGCTACGTGAAGAGCAGGTAGACCAACTGGAAAAGTACCACGATTCAAAAGCTAACTGCAAACTGGAACAAGAAAGCAGCAGAGAAGTAGTGGTTCCCATAGCGACACACAGCCGTTACATTGTCTCTTGTTGGAAAATCGTTAGCTACAAAATGTCAGATTTAATAGTTATCATCTGGACAACAGAAAAATGTGGAGCAACGAGCTTTTTGGAAAGCTCTTCCGTGAACACCACAGCACCAACTGCAAAAAAGTCTGGCATGGAGTTCATGAGTTGTTTCAAAAATTGCACGTTTAATGGCAGCATGAACATCCACCTTCATTCTGAAGCCAAAATGTTAAATATGTAAATAAATAAATAAATAACCTAATTCAAGAATTGTTGTCAATAAATTGTTTTCAATAAATTAGTTAATAATATATTATTTACTATAATTATATCAATAACTGTAAGCGGGGAAGCAGGAGTGTTCGATTGATCGGCTCTCGTTACCAAGGGAACTACTTTATAGGAACTACTTTCTGACGGAGATGAACTCAAGCAGAAAGTGAAGGTTTGGGAGCAAATTAGCCCACATTATGAAATTATGTTTATGATATTGTTGATTACAATGATAGTTTGTGTTATAGAATCGCAATCATACACTTGAGGCCGTTCTTTAACGTCATTATTGGTACTCCAGTACAGGCGTACGGACCCCGCAGTACTGTCGTACCAATAATGACGTTAAAGAACGGCCTCTCGTGTATGATTGCTTAAATCAACCATGCATTCCAAACATTTGCATACAAATGTTTTAACCCTGGCAAACCTGTATCTGTTCACATGCACCGCCATGAGAAGGCACATTCTGCATTAGTTATGATAATGCTATGACAAGGCTTAACAACGGCTTTAATATGCTGTCATATTTGATTCAGAGTGGACATGCAGTCTAACTCTGAACCCCAGCAGTGCAGTGTACCGTCCTCTCAATGACAGCGCTCTGACCTGACTGAACCGAGCAGCACAGTGATACCTTGAGGCCGCTCGATAGCAGCATGCCCAGACGATCCTGTGGGAGAATGCTGAAGGTTTCCTGAGCCAGCATTAAAGTGAAAGAACAGGAGACACAAGACTCAAGAGAGCAAAGCAAACTTTAAGAGCATGTAGACGCGTGAATATGGCAATGTGGTATGCAAACCCAGAGGTGAGGATGGAACTTTAAATGACTAATGATATGTTGAATGCAGGATCAACAGATGGAGACAAGTGATACCAAACATTTACATTTACAGAGGAGAAGGTTAAGCTGATTATAATCTTATGAATAAAGCAACTCCACTACTAAGAAGGCTCTGATGACACCTAGTGATCCCAGTGAGCCATGACCTGTGCAAAGATTTAACATAAATACATGTTTTGGGAAATATTACAGATGTGACGACTCAATCAACTTGGAAGAAAAGCTTAAATCATTGCATTAGAATGATATAAATGTACTGATATAAATGTACGACTTGTAGCTTTGTAGGCTACCAGTGCGATGAATGGGCAGCTTGCTCGCACTGCTGCATGAAGGTACAATGATACTTTTCATAATTTCAGTTGGATGATTACCTGGAGGTCCGACTGCTCCCGGTCCTTGAGCTGGTCCTGGTCCCGGTCCCGGTCCCGGTCCGGGTCCTGGTCCTGGTCCTGGCATTTGGCCAGGAACAACACCCATGTTGGGGGGCTGCATCATCTGAGGGGCTCCGTTGACATGCATTCCAGGCTGATCATGTGACAAAATGAAAATAAATGAGAAACAAGTCATTTAAGCTAAATATGAATCTTAAATTATTCTGTACAGGATGAATCGTATGTGTATGAGTCATGAAACAGGGGTGAGGATATAATACAATTCTGTATTATATATCAAAACCAAACATTTCGAGAACCTTAAGCCTTTATTATTTCATCAGAAATTGTTACTGTAAATGCAAATGTAAAAAATAAAGATTACAAGAACACTTAAAGCCTACAACAATCACAGTATATTGTCACCTTGTTTGTTTTTTTACTAGCTGTTTTATATTAACTGATTATTTAAAATCTAAGCTAGATCTGGTTATAGCCACTGGTGTTAAAGGGCCAGGAGACAAACAAAAGTTCAAATGATATTCAAATTCAAGCACATGTCAAACCTTGAAATATAACGGTGAAAAAGCATTTTCCAAAACCAGATTATTTATTTGTTGCGACCAATAGTTTAGAAAGTGAAAGACCGTCGTACTCACCACAGGCTGCTGCGGCTGAGGCACTTGCATGTTGGGTGGAGCAGAGGGGGGGTTGAGGGGCGGCGCTCCCCCCCCCTGCCCGCTGGGAATGAGCGGCTGGACTGGTGTCTGACGATGGAGCATTTTCTAAATGTGGAGAATATGGAAAAGCATGTCAGCATTGGGAGCAACTCTCACAAATATGCAGTGGTTCAAAATCGCAGACTAGATCCTCGCTTCAAACACTAAGATGATGCAGGATTAGGCTAATCTCTTCCTTCTCATTGTAGTCTCTACTTACCAAGGCTATCTCAGGGTCAACGATCCTCATCACCACTTGGGCCTGCAGCAAGGCGTAGGCCAGCTGAGGGTTCTGCAGCAGCATGTTCCTCGCCTCCTGGGGACTGTTCTGCACACACAGCTGGAGAGAGAAATCACAAAACAGAACCTTGAGATGGGATCTGTAGACTGTGAAAAATCCCAATTCAGCAGACATAAAAAGGGAATATGTTATTTTCTTCCTCCCAGGTTAGACAACCCCCTGTAGTTCTTACTAACCACTTAGGATTCAGATACATGTCAACCGAAGTGGCTGCATCAGCAAAAATCATTAAACAAAGACGTGCAACGAGATCTGTGCCATCAAGACCGGAGCCTGAACACCCACACCCTGCTCAGCATATGGAGCAACTGACACAAGCTTTGGTGCAACAAAAACGTTTCCAGTTGAAGGGGGAAATGTCTGCAGTGTGATGTTTAGCCTAATGAAGCACACTGCCAGATGTGCAAAGATAAGGCTTCTCCACAGAGCTGAGAGACGGCCTCTACAGCACAGCCTCTGATAATGAGAGGGAATCCTGAGAGGATTCCAACTGAGGAAACCTTTTTTTCAACCGATAAGAAAATGCCGGGTACCGGGTACCCATACAAAATACACAATTTTGGTTCTGCTTAACGGTTCCTAAATGCGTTATTCCACCGGGTCCGTCTGCGCCGCGGTGACTCGGTGGAATACAGGGTAACCAGCGGCGGACTGGCCATCTGTGTGTTCTGGAGAATCACAGAACGGCGGCTCGGTTTGCTGACGGCTGGCACCGCCCTTCATTTTTTAAAACGGCATCATGTAAGTTGCGCTGACAGGCGACAGAGGTCCACAGTTGCCCCGCAGCGAGGCTCCCCCCGCCCTCCCGTAGACAGTTCACGAGCTCAGTCACTTCATAACACCAAAGATGGGTCGCGGTAAACGTTCTAAAGGGAGGCTCCACTACACTAAAAAAGAAAAAGACAAGGCACAGTGCTATGCCTGTGGCAAGTTAATAGCTGGCCACAGGAATAGCTCAGTTAAAATAAAGCATATCTATTGTGCAATACATTTGTATTGCATGTAAAAAATTTATTTGTAAAAATGTCAGTTAAAGCTTAAAAGAAAAAAGATATTTTTGTTATCCAAGCGTTTGACCTCTTTCTTTTACAATTTTGGAATCGAAACGGGGATTCGATAAGAACCGGAATTGATAAGCAGAACCAGAATCGGAATCGATACATTTCAAACGATACCCATCCCTATTAAATACACAGTTTGGTAACATGAATCTCCAATATCAAATACTTTCAATATATTATATTCCTAATTATAGGTTTTCTAGTTCATTTAAATTGTCTTCGATATATTAGAATACCATTGAAACATTCAGTTGTTCAATATCATTGTTTTATCATTTGTTTTGACATTGGAAATTTTAAGAAAGAGCTGGAATACTTTGGGGGAAAAAAAAACAAGGCAGCATACCTTCATCTGTTTCATAAGTTCAAACATCTGTTCGGGGGGCAGACTGGCCACAGCTCTGCTAATGGACTCCGGGGCTTCCTGTGGCTGGATGGTGTCTCCATAAGGAGACTCGATAATTGGGGCTCCAGTTCCCAAACCTGCAATGACTTCGCGTGAACGACTTTGAATTAAATCTTAAATCAACATACTCATTTTAAATATTGCCCAAACAATATGTAATCTTACTTTTCAGCTCTTCCTTGTTTTTTTCACTGGCTGCGTTGTCAACCCTTAGAGCCCGACCACTGAACTCCCTCCCGTTCAGGTTCCGCATGGCACTGAGGGCCGTCTCCTGGTCTTGGTATTCACAGAAGCCATATCCCTTTGGCTTTCCTGTCTCCCTGTCATATACCAACCTGAGAGCAAGAAAACACATATCATTATGTCCCCTTGCAACTTATATTCCATGTTAAAAGGGGGTTTTGTTTCAAGAGTTTTCCTTTTTTGAAGCCAGGGCAAACAAGGGGGCATCATGTGTGTTATAGATTGAATTGAATTGTGTGATAGTTTACATAGCCGATCATTAGAAAATTGGGAAAGAAGAGTATTTAAAAGAGGAGAGTAGGTGTAACCATGTGTGTGAGTAAAAATGTGTAGCTTTAACTCCAATGATAGCCCTTACCAATTACTTGCACAGTGTGCGAAAAAGTACACGTCCCACCGTCCGTAATGTGTTATTTACAATATCGGACAAGTAGAGCTTTCAATTGACTTGTCCGGCGGACAAGTGACGTTTTTCGGCCTGATTTATTGACAAATTATTGATACATTCAGATTACAAAAGGCAGAACTCATTCGCAAATTGTACGTGTCCGCCATTGTTCGTTTAGAAGTGTTAGTTTCGGTTCTGCTTGTCCTAAGGAAATGCATCTCGCCGCTTTCTGTACAGTTAGACGGGAGCGGGGTGGGAAGTGTGGCACAGTGGCAGGGGTCGGAAGCAAAACTCGGTTCCGAGTAGGAACAAATAACAATTGTCCGGTACCGGGATTAATAAGAGTTGTGAGGACAGGAGGCGAGGCCGAGCCCCGAGGACTGCAGCTCTCTCTATGCTCCGTATCAGCTGATCGCTGCACGGTGCAGCTCAGCGTCTCTCTCTCTTTCTACACACAGCAGATCCGCTGCCCGATTAACAGCCTCATCTTTGTCAAACTTTCTTATGTTCTTTCTCTAACACGTAATGAAGGTTATTAAGCGTTTTAACTCCTATGTTGTTAATATTGACCACCATTTCCTTTATGAAGTAAAGCAGCCTCCCTGTCTGTGTCCTCACGCTGTCCTGACATCCCCGGACCCCCAGACTCGGAGGAGCACAGGGATGTCAGTATTGTTTATGAAGCAGGGTATAGAAAATACATTATTGAAATGAAAATACTATTTATTTACTTTTACAAACAGTGAGCAGCTGGGCAGCTGCAGCATGTGTATTGCTGGACATGTGTAAGCGTCTTTGAGTTGTAGAAAAGCGCTAGGCCTATAGGCTATACATCTAATGTGTCATTATTATTATTATTAGGTTATGTCCTATGTGTTGGACATGTGTGGTTGGACTTTGTCTCACAGGCAGGTTGCAGTGTAACATCAGAGGAGACTGGGCCAATTGTACATTCTCAAACTGCACCACTTAGAACTGACTAAACAATGCAGAGATTATTTTTATATAATTGTATTCAATAACCGTAAGAAATTCAACAGTATGAAGTGATTTGTAAATAGGAATACAGATTTGACTTATTGTTTTCTCCCAGTTTGTCATGGGACTTTTTTTTACCCTCTCAAAGAACCGGAATCGAGAAACAAAAATAATCGGAATCGAAAAGCAGAACCGGAATCGTTAAAATCCAAACGATACCCAACCCTATGTGTGATGCTGTAAAATCTTACCGCTCACTTACGTTAGCGGTGTCGTAAAAACCGTGGGAAAATGTCAAATATGATGGCGAAGAAGATTCCAGTGGCCCCAATTTTTGTCCATTCTGGACAAGTGAAAAATGTATTCGGACAAGTAAATTGCCAAACTCACTTGTCCATGGACATGACTCTCTAAAAACCTTTTCTCACACTGCTTGCAATGCCACATGTTTACATGAGGAGACACACATGCCTGAAAACACAGGTTTGATCTCTATGTGTTGAAGAAACCTCTTTCACTCACCTGAAGCTGACAACAAGTCCCACTTCAGAAAATATGTCTTTCAGCTGTTCCTCTGTAGCCTCATATGGAATGTTCCCCACTGAAATAATAAATAAACAAGAAGCATTACATTAAAACAAATTCACTTTTTAACAGTTGTGTAAAGAAACTAAGTAGATTTACTCATGTACTGTACTTAAGTACCATTTTGAGATACTTTACATGAGTATCTCGGATCTCCATTTTCTGCTACTTTGTACTTCTAAACTACTACAATTCAGAGGTAAATATTGTACTTTACTCCACTACATTTATTAATACTTTAAATTACTTTGCATATTGGGATTAATTATACAAAACATATTCAACACATAAAGAAAACGTTGGTTACTGGATTTAGTTTACAAGTTACCAACAGTAAATATAGTCATTCAAATTAGGTCCACCTTTACCAGCTTTGATAAACATATTAATGCATCAATAATTATAATCAAAACATATAATATATATCATGTGGATATGGGCCATTCTGCATAATGAGTGCTTTTACTTTTGGTACTTAAAGTATATTTTGATGCTAATGCTTGAGCTTTGACTTGACCAAGATTTTGAATACAGGACTTTTACTTGTTACAGAATATTCCTTCTCTCTGATATTTTAATTTCACTAAAGCAGAACATTGGACTACTTCTTCGCACCTCTGCTTTCTAGTTTTGAAGATTTGTTTTCTCTTTATGTAGCCTACCTAAAGTTAAGTCAGTTCCCTCGTTGCCATGCTAACAGCAACATTAGCCGGCCATGTTTAGCTAGCTCTCATTCATTATCCATTAGAACACTGCTTTAGAAACAAACGGGAATATAGCTGAAAGTAACTGTCGCAGACTTACCAAATACTGATCGTAATGAACGGTCAACAGCTGGGTCTCTATTAGCGGCGATAGCAGCCGCAGCAGCAGCAGCCGCAGCAGCAGCAGCTAATGTCGCCATTTTGGGGACACAAATTCATGTGACACCGGGAAATAACATGGAGCCAATATCCGTTTGTGTGGGAAAAGAAAAAGGGGAACATATAAAATGAACAGTGCGACCTTTTTCTAACATTTTGATAAATTAAACTATCCGCTGGCAACGTTTTTCTTATTTAATATATCATTTGTATTTACAATATTTATTTAAGTGTATTTAAGACAAGTACTTAGTAGCTATTGGTAGGTGTAACAGATGGCGCTGTTGTCCGTGGTACATTTATTTTATGTTATTAGTTTATTGATTGCACCGCCAACCACCACTCAGAATATGAAATGCTGATAATTCCTCGGCTAAAAGTGAAACAATGGATTTACATTTCCCCCCGAGAATCCACTTTTCGACGACAGAATATTAGGTGAGTAAAGTGAATTAGTGTTGGGAACAGCAAGATAGTTAAATGTATCAAAGTGTTGGTAATGTTAACATTTGAATCCTGCAAAGCATGATAATATAAACACGTGTGGCTCTGCAGGGATGGGAGAGGGGTAAACATGTCAGGGTTCTTACGGTCATTAAAAACCTGGAAAAGTCATGGAAATTCAAAATGCTAATTCCATGCCCTGGAAAAGTTTTGGAAAACAATATTTTCCCCAAACTTTTGGAAAAGTCATGGAAATGTAACTAAAGTTGCATCAAATATAATTTATATTTTAGCCGAAATAGTCGAAAATAGTAATACTATAATGATAATACGTACTGTATCGTATAGTAATGAAACGTAAAAAGGCATACTGACGAGATATTTTGCTGTGAGAGATTTTAGTTGCTTTAGCGTGTAGTAAGCCTATTTGATTTGTTTTAGATAGGCACAACATGTTTCATATGCAGACCTTATTTTCCTGTTCCATCCATCCATCCAACATGTACTCAAGTCCTTTACTAGGACTCGAGTAAATGTCCTAGTACAGAACATGTTTTGCTCCTTTCGACTTGCCACTACAATTCCTTTAATACCTTAAGTTACTAGTACGCAGGTATGGATACATTAATCAAATATGATCAATACTTTGAAAAGACTTTGGTCACTCGATTTGGTCACTGTTTCATATGCAGACCTTATTTTCCTGTTCCATGTTAAAATAAACAATTTTCAGTGGTACTGCTGAGAAAGTGTAATTTTTTTGGTCATGGAAAATTAGGTAAAGGTCATGGAGAAGTCATGGTAGAGTAATTGAAAATCATTGGTGAAAAATGGTATGAACCCTGACATGTATATAAACAAAAAGTTAACTTATTTACTGGTTATTCACACACTGTCTTGAGGAAATTGGTCTACTAAACATGTAAACCTGTTGTAAAATATGAGATATGATGGCTGTTGCACCTGCATAATCACACACCTGTTTTAATTTGAATGTATAATTGCCTACTTTATTCATACATTGAGAATATGGTTTATACAATGTAAATGCTAAAATGTAATAGAAAAAAGTTGTTAAATCTTTACTTTGTGCTCTGCAAGACATAAATACTGGTTCACTCCCAAAGTAAAGTAACTAAGAACATTTACTCAAGTCCTTTACTAGGACTCGAGTAAATGTCCTGGTACATAACATGTTTTGCTACTTTCGACTTCTACCCCACTACAATTCCTTTAATACCTTAAGTTACTACGCAGGTATGGATACATTAATCAAATATATGTATGATCAATACTTAAAAAACACTCGATTAAAATACACAAGCTACCAAGAGTAAATACAGTAATTAGTTCCATCTTTACCAGCTGTGATATTAAATTATTAATACATCAATAATTATAATCTTTATTCTTAACATATACTATTTATTATTCTGAAGTTGGCCAATCTTTATAATGAGTACTTTTACTTTTGGGACTTTAAGTATATTTTGATACTTTTACTTGAGTCACTTTTGAATCCAGGCCCAGGACTTGTAACAGAGTATTCCTACACTCTTGTAGTTCTGCTTTTGCACGATCTGAGTACTTCTTCCACCTCTGTTTAACTTAAAGTAATCTTCTTAATATACAGTATCTCCCTATAAAATATTCAGAGAAAAATAACACAAGCTTTTTTTAGTGGCCCGATGAGGTAACGGGCTCTATTTGCTCAAAGCAATAACCTAAGAAAGCCCATGTAACCTCTACATTTTATGTGGCTAATTTGGCTGCATATAAGAGGTGTCTTTAACCTACCTTGGATTTTGGATTGACAGTAATCTGTCATTCTCAGAACATCTCTCCAAAATTCAGACCAAGGTTAAAGCTAGACTCAGCTTTCTATATAGGAATCACTCCTCATTCACTTCATCTGCTAAACTCTCTCTGGTCCAGATGACTGTCCTTCCTCTGTTCGACTACGGCGATACCATCTACCGCTCGGCGTGTAAAGGAGCTCTCGATCATTTAGACCAGGGGTGTCAAACTCAATTTCATCGTGGGCCACATTAGCATTATGGTTGCAGTCAAAGGGCCGGTTGTAACTATATAAATATACATATACAAATACATAATATATATGAAATAATGTATTATATTATTGCCTCTGCATTAGATTTTTATTGGATAGGGTAATAACTTCATAATTAACTACGTCTGAAAGCAGAAGTCTAGGGCAAATAATTGCAAGTCTCTTCAGTGCGCATGTCACAACATGAGATGCATTGTGGGACATGTAGTTTATGGGCAACATGCTTATGTAAGATAAGATAAGATAAGATGGACCTTTATTAATCCCTGTGGGGAAATTCAGTTGTTTAACAGCAACAGGGTAAGATTGAAAAACAGGACGAGCACAGATTCACACAGATGAATAAAATCAAGGATAAATCAAAAATTTAAAAAATGATAAATAACTATAAAATAAGAAATGAATTAAAATTAACATATATAGACATACTGTAAAGTAGCATGTAACCATATAATAAACGTATTATATTATTTGCAAGCTCTTGCAGGCCACATCAAATGAAGTCGAGGGCCGGATTTGGCCCCCGGGCCTTGAGTTTGACACCCCTGATTTAGACGTTCTGTATCACTCCGCCATCTGCTTCGCCACCAATGCCCCCTACAGGACACACCACTGCGACCTGTACTCTCTGGCTAACTGGCCCTCTCTTGGGACCAGGCGCAACATCCACTGGCTGATGTTTGTTTACAAAACACTCCTAGGCCTCACCCCCTTCTACCTCACACAATTACTGCAACTCCGCCCACCCCCGACGCACAACACCCGGTCAGCTACAAGCATCCTGTTAAAGATCCCCAAAGTCCATACATCCTTTGGCCGCTCCGCCTTTCAGTTTGCAGCAGCAGATAGCTGGAATGTCATTCAAAAAACGTTGAAAATGAAAACCTTTGTCTCCCCCCGCACCTTCAATGTCACTATTATTGACACCCTGGTACACACATGTAGCTGCTTTGCCTGATGCTGATTTTAATGACTGATTGAACCACAGCAATATTGTTTTAGAGTTGTTATATGTTTAACTGCTATGCCTGTCATCTTTGCTCTATGTGTTTGTGTTGTCTCCTGGGTTCTGTCTTTTTATTTTTTCCCCTCCCAAACCCCATCCCCTCAGGAAGCCTTTTGCCTCCTGTTCTTAATTGATTTTCCTGGATAAATAAAGGTTCTACTACTACTACTGCTTTAACATATGAAAGAAAATAGGACCATTATGGCAGGAGACAAATTCATTGAGAGATTTATGTATTCATTTTAAAATTGTATTATAATGTATTGTATATAATAGTTTCAGGAATATTGAATCATCATCGTCTAATATTCCAGAGGCACACCCTGCCAACATAAATGTCTAATAAAACACTCTGGACATTGAGTTTTTGGTGACAAAATTGCTCTTCTGTCTTAACATCCAAAAACTCATTAATTGATTCCTAGAGATGTGCCAGTATCTCGACAAATGGTACTATCAGCATTTTCCAATATCTTTAATTATAATTTAGTCTTCTTCGTCTTATTCCCCTTTTGCAAACGGCATTCTTTACATGTAAACAGCAGACATCAGTGTGGATTTGCTATGATGTTCGGCTTTGGGTTTTGGGCTCTGATCTTGAATGTAATTTTCTCTTCTGCAGTGTTGAGTTATTTGGCTTTATCTGATTTATTTGTTATGAAAGTTGGTGGGTGCTGAAGGCCTTGGGTCATGAAAACAATTTTCAAACTTTGGTAGTATGAAAAAAAAAGATATATGAAATAAGATTTGAATACTATGACTATGGTTGAAGAATCTTAAAGTTCATATACAGTACCAACATTTTTGATACATCCATCCATCCATCCATCCATCCATCTTCTCCCGCTTATCCGTGGTCGGGTCGCGGGGGTAGCAGTTCCAGCAGAGAGCCCCAAACTTTCCTTTCCCTGGCCACATCAACCAGCTCTGACTGGGGGATCCCAAGGCGCTCCCAGGCCAGCGAAGAGATATAATCCCTCCACCTGGTCCTAGGTCTACCCCTTGGTCTCTTCCCAGCTGGACGTGCCTGGAACACCTCCCTAGGGAGGCGCCCAGGTGGCATCCTTACTAGGTGCCCGAACCACCTCAACTGGCTCCTTTCGATGCGAAGGAGGAGCGGTTCAACTCCGAGTCCCTCCTGGATGACTGAACTTCTCACCTTATCCCTAAGGGAGACACCAGCCACCCTGCGGAGAAAACCCATCTCGGCCGCTTGTATCCGCGATCTCGTTCTTTCGGTGATACAGTGATATTCAAATATGGATTTCGTATGTGCAGGACAGGCTACTTGATAGATTGATATTTAAGTGTGACAACTTAAAATATGACATACTTAAAATGTTACGGATCCCATTAATCCAGTTCTTAATGTAAACTGTAGAAACACCAGTGGCATGGAGAGAGCAAACAGCAGCTTAAGTTGGCAGATTTCACTTTAACACATGCAGTCCTAATTTATAACTTCACATCTGAGAAGCAGAGAATGTTTGTGTTTATGATTGAAAAATGACTCTATTTTGTGTTTACAATTTCCAAACCTAAAGCAGTCCACTTCAACATAATTGCAAACTGC